AATCTTGAGCAAGTCATTTAGCCTCTCTAGATTTCTGTTTCTTCATATTTAAAACAGAGTTAAATGTACATTAGATTGATTCTGATTGTAAACTCTTATACCTGCAAAAGCCTATGAATACTCCAGGGGCAAAGTACTCCAGAGGGAAGCCACATGAGGTCTGCATGGAGACAGAGGAAGTTTGGGACTTGAGGGCTATAAATTCAGGCAAAAAAAAAACCCTCACAGGTATCATGGTCTTAAGAACCAAGAAAAAAAAGTCTATTAAGAAGATAGACACAGAACCAGGTGGACACCCATACTCCCAAAAGTGAGATAGCTTAAAGCAGGAAGATCACAAGTTCAAGCTCCACCTAAGTAACTTAGCAAGACCTTGTCTCAAAATAAAATCACCCAGGGATGTAGCTTGGTGGCTGAGTATCCCTGGGTTTGATGCTCAATACCTCACCCCCATAAAGAAGTTAGTCATGGAAGCTTCCTGGCTCTGACCACACCCACTTTCCTGGTCTACATCTGGGCCTTGGCTGTCAAGAAGATCCACCTGAGGAGACATGCTTGGTCAAGGCCATGTGGTGACCCAGATTTCTGATGTAATCAAATGCCAGAGGTGTTGTTAGGGACAAAGAAAAGGGATAAAATCTGTGCTCCTTACCCCAAGAGACTTATTCTACTGCAGGGCTGGAGCAGCAGGTTCTTAGGCAGAAAGACTGAGAAAGTTGCCATCCTAAAGTCCAGTGGTTGAGGAAGCAGAGCCAGGGAAGCCCCGGTTACCCTGCAAAACTCAGCCAAATCCCGTCAGGATTTATCCTGAAACCCTGTACCACAGTTTGTAGATCCTTTGTCAGTGTCAGCCATGAGGATGAGTCACGGCCATTGCTTGACCAATTTGCTCTCTGTGAAAGCCTGAGAGAATGTTTTCTCACCATATGACTCTCCTTAGGCACACACTACATCATCGATCACTTTCCTCTGTGGCCCCATAATCTCCTTGATCAGAAAATATGGGACACAACTGAGTTACTGACCTTATAAGATACAAAAGTTACATTTGTTATATAGGTCTTGCTTTATCTTGGTCTTAGCCATCCAGCAGAAAAGTATAAAAATGAAGTATAGAAAGTAAAGCAATATTAATATGCTGAGCTGTAAAACGCTCAAGTCAACAACTTCTGACATTGCCAGTCTTATGGAAAACCCACTACTATTATGAACTACTGGACTATATCGGAATATTTTACTGAATTCACACACCTAAAATATTTAAATGACAATGGAATACCCTTCTCTGACAAAACTAAACAAGAAAGGGGGATACAAATGAACGACCATTTTGTGTCTGTATATTCAAAATAGTTAAGATAGATATACAGCTGCATTCTCTTAATTCAGCAAATAGAGATTTGTTCTAATAGTGTTTGTGGACAGGATATCATGTCTGCATCTTGTATAATGAATAACCACTAAGACAACACTATGCAATGTATTAATTATTGAAACTGCTAGTAATTGGCTCTGAAACTGTCTTATTGCTATTTCTCAATAAAATTATTTTTAAAAAAAATTGAGCTCAGCCGCCTAGCTTTTGCATGCTAATGTTAGGCAACAATGTAGCCTCATAGTGGTGGGAAAAAGCAATTGTGGTGACCAGAGTTTTCAATCTAGTAAATCTTACTGAATTCTTTCTATTAGTTATGACAAAGAGGGCTGGGGTAAAACCTAACTGTTAAAGAGAACAAGATTCTCTAATCTTTCCTTGCCCTTTGACCTCACAAATTCTGACATGCCAACCACTTGGCCCAGTGAGAATGCCTGACAGGCTTGCTGATGTGGATGTGGAGCGATCGATGACTGTCATTCATTTTTCAAACTGTCATTCCAACTTGATGGGACAAAGATGGGAGGAAGGGATGGAGACAGCAGAACCCTTGGAATCTCTGGCCCCCAGCTCCTTGAATATCCCTTGTAATTTATATAATTTTAGTGTTTTTTGCTCCATTTCTCCACGGTGTCATCTTTAATCCACATATGAAAGGGAAAATGCTGAACATCATTACACAGTTTCAACTGTCTCATATATAACATGACATAATTTATATATAAATAGATAAAATTTTGTATGTTTTCTTCATCTTTGATCTCTAATGCTGCACTTTTTTCTTTTTGTCTGCACTGCTTTTATGGCTCAGTTGGAGTCTTCAAGACTGATGTTTACAGTAAGGGAGGTTATCAGGAAGAAATTGAAGAAATGGAAAACCAGACAAACTGCCAAGCTCTTTTTCTCTACCTGGCCATCTTCAAGGCTAAGGAAACAAAGAGGCCATGATCATCTGTATTTGCCAACTGTATCTATCCCACACAGTACAGTACATAGCTTCCTTAGCAAGGAAGGCTAATTTGAAGATCCAAATGGAAATTGCTTTTATTAAATCTCGGTTACTCAATATATGTGTGATTTGGCCCTGGTCCACCCACATTCACTGCCTCAGTGTCCCCTTCAGTGAGCAGCTGCAGCCACACCTCTCAAACCAAACCTACTCCAAGATGGGCACCTTCCTCTCTGGGAAACCTCCAGTTACTGTGATCTAATTCTGTACTTTCAAAGATTGTTTGTGTTTATTTCCCATTTCCCATAAGTGTCCCCAAAAAGGCAAAAACAAACCAAAACAGCTGAAACATAAAACACCTTTTCTGTTTATGGACAGCAAAAGTCTGAAAAATCAAACAACAAAAAACAACATCAGTGGACTAGAGCGCAGTGGCTGGGGTTCTATCCCCAGTGTGCCATGCAAGCCTCACCCCTGGGGCGCACTGAGACAGCGATTCGGACCAGGCGTGGTGGCGTGCACCTGTAATCCCAGCACTTGGGAGTCTGAAAACAGGAGGATCACACAAGTCCGATCTATGTAGTGAGACCCTGTAGACCCTGTACTAAATACATTAAAATGAAAACAAAAACTGTGACTGTGCTGAGAATCAAGCCTAGGGCCTTGAGCATGCTAAGTGCATGCTCTACCACTGAGATGCTCCTTCAACCAAAATGAATTCTGGAAAAGAACATGTACAGCTATCAGATTGCTTTACCTAAGCCAAATCCTCCCAAATGGAAGCCTATCTTTTTAAGCAGACACTCAAGAATATTGACCAGACTTTTAAAAATCTAAAATATGACAATTTCCTCTTTAATAATCTGAGCATTTTGCATTCCATTCCATGTAGGACTGACTGAAGCCCATCATAAGTATCTGCATTGTATGGCTTTATGTTACCATAGGATCTTCAGAGACCACTAAAGAGTATCTAGTTATTCACTATCTTTTCTAAGGGGACATTAATTCTGTAAAGGCCTCTTTATCCGCAGGCTCTAGATAAATTTGTTTCTAGAAGTGCTTCCCTAGTCCTTCTCTCAGGCTCTCTACTGTAACTTCTTCATAGTGCGTGGTCAAGATGAACCAGATGACCAAAGTTAGCGGGAGCCCTAGCTGGACCTGCAGTCTCTAGGCTCTGGTCCGAGAGTGGCTCCATGCTGAGCACACTAAACAAGTTTGTCAGCTTTGTACCCAATATTGAATTTGTTCTATTTTATTTTTCATTTATGCTCAAATTTCAGTAATGAATTTGCTAACAACCATCATAAAGCTTATTAGCTTATTAGCTTCATGAATAAAGAAAATACCACTGAGGAATTAAAAAGAGAAGTACAGCACTACAGAATAGGAACTGGGGCCTTCACACACATTAAATAAAATCATATAACTTTTAATCTAGTAAACATAGAATATAGATAATTAGCACATTTATCTGTAGAGCAAAGGGCATATTTATCTGCAGAATGAGGGGCAAAACAATCCTAAAATAAAGTCTTGATTATTATTATTTCTATTACAGCCTACTACATCTTATATTTCAAAATTTCTTTCATTATTTTGAAGATAATATCTAATGTCTCAACACATGTACAAAATAGTCAGTGCAAGTGATCTTAAATGAATCATGGCTGGCCAGAACAGCTCAACAGACTATAGTGCCTGCTTAGGCAGGGTGCAGTGGCCTGGGTTTGATCCCCAGCTTGCCATGCCAACTCTGCCCCCGGGGTACGCCGAGATGGCAATTAAGACTGGGTGTGGTGGTGCACACCTATAATCCCAGTACTTGGGAGGCTGAAAATAGAAGAATCACTACCAGTCCGATCTGTGTAGTGAGACCTTGTAAACCCTGTTCTAAAATACATAAAAATCAATCAATCAATCAATCAATCAATCAATCAATCACAACTGCTATTCTCAAAGAACTGAAGTAGGTATGAAACACTGCATTTTCCACTGCTTTGTGCCCCACCCTTGGCCTTGGGGGCACAGACCTCAGTTTAAAGCAGGTGGCTTCCAAATCTGCCTGTAGTTCCAAGACCAGGGTGGCACTGTGCTGAGGGCCACATTGACCCCAGGCTCTTCCCCACTACAGCTGAGTTGCTTTCGTTAATTAGATGGCTTCCCTGGCACTAAGCCTCTTGCCAGCTCCTGACAGCTACTATTCAAGCCTACACTCCTCATGCCAGAGATCAAACAGTCCAGTCCCTGTGTACTTTGCCAACCAAGTCCTTCACTTTGTGCCTTTTTCTATTTCGATTCTCTAGCCACACCCCTGACAAACTGTCTCAGAACAACTGAGGCATACTGCTGCCCCAAGGCCTTCAAGTGGTTCCCCCTGCCTCATATGTCAAACTTCCCTCCAATTCCTTCCTTTCAGCAATACTCCTTTGGGAGTGGTCTCAGCCTCCCTGCCTCCTATCCTGCCTGATTCCCTAGTGACATTCAGCACCGTCCATGGTCAGGGCTATTTAGGAATGTTTACTCCCCTTCCAAGACCCCAAGGCCTCGACAGTGCCAGGCAAGTCTGCTTTCCCCATGACACTCAGCACAACACCTAAGAAGACAGTGGATTTCAAGTGATGGAAATGGGCCAGGGCCCTGCCCAAGCACTACTCTCCACTTGTGCATACGTACGATTTCCACAGTTGAGACCACCGAGGCCAAAGGGACAACTGCAAGTCAACAGAGAAAAATAATTAGTTTCAAATCTCAAATGAAGTGACAAAGGCAATTTACCTGAGTAATTTTTTTATTTAGGATAGTTCTTCATTATGAAAGACTTCATTTTAGGATAGTTTTACAGTACAAATTGTAACATCTTCAACGGAATAAATGAACATTGACCTACCTCATACAAGTTTCATTTTCCAGTCTATATCCATCTTCACAAGCTGAAAGAAGAAAAGGAAAATCCATTAATGTGGTTTTTTTTTTTTTTTTTTGTGGAACTGGGGATTGAACTCAGGCCCTTGCACTTGCCAGGGAAGTGCTTATTCACTGAGCTATCTCCCCGGCAAAATCCATTAATGTTAATCTCCCATAGGTCAACTTACATTACTTAAATGCTACCCATTCACTGTCTGAAAGAATATTCTAGAACCAGAAGAATGCAGATAACCTTAAAATTATCTATAACCTACCTAAACACGGTTATCAATTCAACTCTTAACCTTGTTAAGAAACTTTTCTTAATGTATTTGTGGCTCTCAGTTCCCCATCTGTAAAAAGGAGGTAACAACAATAACAAAATCAGGGGACAACCCGCTCGGGCCCCCCTCCTGTACCTCTCTTGGACAGAAGCTTTCGTTCCCCCACTAAATCCATTCTGCTAAAAACAAAAACAAAAACAAACAAACAAAAAAACCCGCTTTACAGTATCCTAAAGGAAATGAAATAAAATGAAGCATGTAAATGGTTCAGCATAGGCCTGACATATATCAACCACTACATAAATGTCTGTAGTTGTAATGATCAACAAATGCAATTCTTTTTGGAAGTTCTCGATAGATCAAAAATGTCTCCACTGGGCATGGTGGAACATGTGTAATTCCAGCACCCTGGGAGGCTGACATAGGAGGATATGAAATTTGAACCTGGTTCAGACAACTTAGACTGTTTCAAAAATAAAAAATGGGGGACCTAGATCAGCAGCACAGTGCCTATCTGGCAAGCATGAGGTCCTGAGTTTGATTCCCAGTACCAAAAAAGACAATAGAAAAAAAAAAGTTCCTTTAAAAATAAATAGATTAAATAAATAAATAAATAAATAAATAAATAAATAAATAAATGGGCTGGAATGTAGCTTAGTGCAAAGGTTCAATTCCTGGTACCACCAAAAAAAAAAAAAAAAAAAAAAAACTTCTCTGGAATATCCTTTTATATGCACAAGGACAAATCTTTAAATCTCTCACTATCTCTGATGTACATCAAACTTTTAGTCTGACATTGGTCTTAGTAGCCTGTTTCCATGAGGTAGAAGTTATAGGTAATACCTTCTGAGACATGATTCTGGTGGTACTTAGCATTTTATAAGAAAATTTTCACTTTATAATCTGAAAAGAATCCTAGACATATCTAGATGTGTCCTAATTGACGCTTGGCTCACAAACAGCTTTGAATGCTCTGGGTGTAATCCTGGATGACTGCTTCACTGAAGAGGCCGAGATCCAGCTCTTCCCCTGTATCACCAGTTCCCAAGTATATCTCATTACGGGAATACTTTCAATACTGCAATAATTCAACAGGACACCATGAGCTGTAAGGAGCTGCAATGCATGCTTGGATGAAAGCAGATAGTGAAAAAATGACCTTGCAGACAAATTCTTTTGATGCAAAAGATGATTAAAAAATGGATTCATGATTAATGCATGGTATGCATTGCATAAAAGCTTACAGATGAAGAAAGGTACGAAGTGCTAAGGATGCCAGCCCTGAACAGGAGGGAGACACACTAACGCTGAGGTGTAGGATGCAGGATACATGGTAAGGGGTGAGATGGGGGAGCAGTGTGTAAGCCCTGATGATCCCTCTGCTACAGCACTGTGCGTGACACTACTAACTCTGTGGATGTGTTTAATATCTTTTCCTCCTACTTTTCTTATTTGTTTTGTTTTTTTGGTGGAACCAAGGATTGAACTCAGGCCCTTGCACTTGCCAGGCAAGCACTTATTCTACTGAGCACTTATTCCCTTGTCTTCCTTCTACTTTTCTATTGTGAGAGGTTAAATGTTTCTGGCACCTATTTTATTTCCTAAATCATTTAGCATCACTAAAGTTTTGTGGAACACAGTTTGGAAAACACTATACCAAATGAGCTGTCATTTGAGCTGGAGCATGGTGGTACATGCTTATCAGCCCAGCACCTGAGGCAGGAGGACCTCGGATTAGAGTCCAGCCTGGGCAATTTACTGAATTAGCAAATCTTGTCTCAAAATTAAAAAATAATAATAATACATAAGTAACTACATAATAATCTCATGGTAGATTATTAATGAGCCATGAACCTGGGCTGCACTGCTAGGGTTTCACAGAATCACTTTTCCCAAGCTACATTCTCTTATTCTGAAGGGTATTTCTTTTGTAAGAAGTAGTTACAGAAAATCCTTATGGCATTTATTACAGGGTGTCATGGGCCACACTGCCACAGTACCACTCCATAACCTGTTAGTGAGGATGCCCAGAGAAATTTCTCTTGGGATCCTCTGCTTTGGAAGATGGAGATGCTCCCAGACCAAGGTACTTTATTTTATGGAATTTGGCTCTTTTTAAGAATTAGTTTCCCCTT